GACGTGTGGTTACAGTTAAGGGACTCGGAGAGAGAGGTGTGGAGGACCTGAGGGTGCCAGGTTGATTTACCACTCTCCTCAAGTTTCTTTCTTGTGTTTTGGCAGTGCAGCTGGAAAAGAAGCCCAACTCTCCATTCCTCCCCCCCTCCCCCCAAAAAACTTGGAAAGACCTAAGCTGTTCCAGTGGGGTGGAACGGAGCAAACCTCTTCTAAACAAAATCACCGCAATTTCAGTTTCTCCCTGGGCCACTTCCTTCAGAATTAGGATAAATAAGAGCTGAATTACAAAAGGAAAGGAAGAAAAACACCAAGAGAAAATTAGGACTAAAACCAAATACATATGCGCGGACTCCTGTCCAAACCTGCGGGCTATTGTGCTTCTCCAAAATTTTAACATAAAAGAAGAGAAAAGCCAGGCATTCTTGCCAACGAAATGATTTATTTACCAAGAAAGAGTTGCAGGGGAGGCCCTCTCGGTGCAGAAAAGCCGCAGACAGATTGCACAGCGCACAAACTGCTGGGGCTGTGGGCTGCTCGCTGGGGCTTGGCATCTCGCACAGAGACCCGCCAACGGCACTCGCACCTCCCCTCTCACAGAGCCGCGCAAGTCAGGTCCCCCGGACGGCTCGTTCCTGCGACAGGCTGGCGGTAAGGTAACACCGCCATACTTCAGGTGATAATACTTCCTTACGCTTACAAAGCGCTTGACAGGTAATTGGGAATCCCACAACCACCACCAATGTGGATGATGCGACGGCAGCCAGAGCACCTCAGTCCGCTCCCCACACACCAGCTCTCAGTGGGGAGGAGAGCAGAGTGATGGAGCCAGTTCAGAGAGGGGGATTATTTGGAGGCCATGACTGGTAAAGGCCAGGGGGGACATTTGGCCAGGATGCCGGGGTAACACCCCTACTCTTTTCGAGAAACACCCTGGGATTTTTAATGACCGCAGAGAATCAGGACTTCAGTTTTATGTCTCATCCGAAGGACGGCGCCTTTTTACAGTATCGTGTCCCTGTCACTATACTGGGGCATCAGGACCCACTCAGACTGCAGGATGAGCGCCCCCTACTGGTCCCTTTAATACCCTCTTCCAGCAGCAGCCTTAGCTGGACCCAGGAGGTCTCCCATCCAGGTCCTGGCTAGGCTCACACCTGCTGAGCTTCAGTGGGGCTGCCAGTGGTGATTTGCGGGATGATAATGGCTTCTGGCATAAGTCTGCACGATAACCAACGAATTAAGCACTGCAGCTGTGCATCTAGGATTGCAAACCAAAGACCTTTCTTGACACAGGCTTTTGGTGGAGCTGAGGGACTGTCCAGTAAAAAGCACAGAACCAGATGCCCTGGGATCATCCAAGAAAAAAAGCAGGATCTGCCCCCCTTCCCACCTCCCACTTGTTAAAAAAACAAGGGGCTACAAACCAGGCAAGCAGGATGCCCTGAACTGGCTACGAGCTACTGTGGTGTTTGTGTCTTCTCCGTTTTGTGCTTGGTGCTGTGCGTGCCGAGACTGCTCGTTTTCATGTGACCATGCAACTAGACGCTAGGCTCGACTGTCTCGCACAGGCTTGACTGTCTCCCACAGGCTTCTCGGCCCTCTGGAGCAGAGCCCAGGGCTCAGGGAGATCAGCAAACAGTGCCTCTGGCTGCTGGTATGTCTGTCACGCTGGTCTGGGGGAAACCAATATTTGCATTCACTGTTTGGGGAAGGCAGGGCCGGGGCCGACTCAGGCAACGGAGCAGGGGCTCCCACTTACAAAGGTCTGGTTTGCAGGCAACGTGCTAACCTGTCAAAGCAAACTTGAAGATTCCCAGCCCTCCCTTCGCCTACTGAAGAAAACGTTAAGAGGCGAAACGGCTTTTCTTCTCTGCACGAACTAGCGCTGCTGACCCAGGAGTCCATCAGGCGCGGGACACACCATCGCCCTCGAGGGCAAGAGGGGGGAGAGAAAATGTCGCAGACGGGCAAGCAGCCCAGCTTCTTCATTTGGTGGCTTGCAGCTTACTGACCTGAGGGGTTCCATCCTGCTCTCTGTTTAAAAAAAGCCCAGTTCATTCCAGACCTTCACAACACTTTCGGCGGTTCTTCTTTTCTTGAATTCATCCCTGAATGCACTTCTCCTTTGTTTTTCCCTCCCACTCGTGCGGCTGGGTAACTTTCTATGGATATAATACTTGCGTCACGTCTCCCTGCAGTCTCTCCCTCTGCAGGACTGAAGATATTCAGTTCCCTTAACCCTTTTTCACCTGAGAGCCATGCAAGAGGAAGTGGTCGGATCCAGAGACGAGGATGCCTGGGTGCGCGCAGTGGGGGGGCGGGACAGAGCGAGCGCAAGGAATAAAACACGCCAACAGAGAGACAGAACGACAGCAGGGAAGGAAAGAGATGCCGACACATCTGCCCCCCTGCGCGCTCCTTTTGCTCCACGAGATCCTGCACGAATTCAAAACACCAGTTCGAAACGCTCGGCTGCACATACCGGTGGGAGCAGAGCGTGGGCGAACGGGGCGGTTGGCAATTTGGCTGCCGAAAGACTTGGAAAAACCGAACTGGGTCATGTCACGCTAATCAAGCTCTTCAATGAACTTCTCCATTTAAAAAAAAAAAGACTTGCAGAAAGGCACCAGTGGCGAGCACCCAGGCAGGCAGACCAACTGCTCTTCTGTGCACAGCAACACACCTGGAGCCCCACAGCAGAAACACGGGATCAGAAAACGGGACAAGCGCCCACCTAAGCCAGCAATGACCGCGGTCAAGCGGTCTCATAATCGAACGAGCCGCACCCTAGCGGAGGGATGAAAGTTTTCCTTGAAGGTCGGGGCCACCCAGTCCTGCGGGGTACCTCGCTCGTGAGAGGGAGCGGCGGGCACGAGCCAGCCAGCGGACGGGTCCTTACGGTAGGTGCTCGGGCAGCCTCTGGACCTCGCTCCACACGCCGAAGGGCAGCCGGTCCCTGGGAACCCGGTACCGCAGGGCCCACTGGGCGGCCCCGGCCGGCGCGCCGTACTTGGCGAGCAGGGCGATGAGCTGGCACTGCAGCTCGCCGTGCTCTCCCACCATGGCCTGGACGAGAGAAGGAGGGCAGAGGTCAGAGGGCAGAGGTCGGCTCCGCACGGCACGGGCGCGGGCGCACACAGCAGGCCGCTGTACTCGAGCAGACCCCATGGGTACCGCAACAACAGTCGGGTGCAAAAACGAAAATAAACGGCACAGAGGCAGGCAGCGCCAGAACTCAAAACCCTCCGGTTTTCAGTCCACCTGCAGTCCCAGTTACAAAACTAGGTGTAGTCTATAGTTTAAAAAAAAACGCCACCAAGTAACTAGCTGATTGTGTACATTTGTTAAGTCTTAATCAGTTGCTTATTGAAAAATGCAACTCCAGGAAGGACTCAGCCTTTGGGCAAGGCATCTATGGACTGGAGTTGTCAAGCCATGAAACAGACTCAATTGGGGTCCGATTCTGCCTCCGGACCCCTGCTGTTGCCGAGCCCCCCCCCTCCTCCCCACCCCACACATTTGTTTCAGGGCTGCTACAGAGCTGCAAGCACCCCCTCCATTCCCCACGTGCCCTTGTGCGGTCAAGCAGAGCGAGGATTTCCAGGAGACGCGCCAGGCAGGGTTTATAAGGGTGGGCCGGTCCAACCTGCCCGGCCAGTGGGAGCAGTTGCGTGTGCATGCGCCCACGCAAAGACAAACACGCACACAAGCACAGCAGGCACAGTCACGGGATCCCGAACACGCCGGCCACATGGGGCCCGTCCCGTGCCAGCAAGTGTCCTCGTCTCACACTGGCATCCTTAGCCGCTCAGAGAACAGAGACAAGCTACGCTGGCTCTGCCTTCGCAGGGCCTTGGTCACACTGCATGTCAACCAGTAGGCCAGCTCAACCAGTACTGGACTGTAGTTTAAGTAGGGGGCTGCGTCAGCACGCGTAGGCTGCAAAGGAACAAGTGAACGTTTATTCCCTGCTGAAAAGAGAAGAAAAGAAACAACGTTTTGGCTGAGGAGCCATCTTCAGGTGTCAAAGACTCCTCAGCCGAAATGCTGTGTTTCTTTTCCTCTCTTTCCAGCAGGAAATAAACGTTCACTTGTTGCAGCCCTGCACTGGGTTAATAGATCAATAAACTCCCTTCCCCCTGAACATCACTCACATCATCGTCTGGCACTGTACTGTTCTAGACCTGGATTACCACAACTGTTTTTACTTTTATTGCACGACTGGAGGTGCAAAAGGTGCACAAGTCACAAGAAATCAATTCTTTTGGAGCTCCAAATGGCTGCAAAAGTTCAGTTCAGAGAACATTACAAGCTCGGTTTAAGAGAGAGTCCTGCCCGAGCACAAACCAGTGTGAAGAAGCAGAAAAAATAAATTGATTGAGTTGAAAATCAAATGTGTTAATTTAGGGTTATCTGGCATAAACTGCAGCAGAACGTAAAGAGCCAATAATTGTACCTTGAGGCTTAGCTTCTGCAGCTAGTTTTACAAGACAGGTCACAACCCATAACGCATAGAAAGGCCTGTTCATCATGCCTCCAGCACCGATAAGGCTCCACATCCCTAGCAAACTAATCAGGCCGGTGTACTGAGTAGAAAGCTGCACCTTTCTGAGACGTGTGCTACTGGACCTGAATCCGTTGAACTTGATCTCTTGAGCGATAATAAGGGGCTTTGATTCATGCATTCCTCATGCATATTAAAGGTCAGTCCAAATGATTGCTTCACAATCAAGGGTCAGAAGCTGAATTTAAGAAAACTGCAGACATGAAGTGCTTCTTTACACAAGGACTAGATGTTTGGAAAACATCAGTAAGACTGATGCCCAGAATGGGATCATTCTTGAAACTCCCAGAAGGCTTTATAGGATAAATAAAAACTTACACTTGTGTGAACAAAAACCAGGCTCTTGCTCTCCAGCAAGACTTTAGTTTTCCATGGACTGTAAACTTGGGTGTTTTTCAAATTCAAGTGAACTTCTCTGGGTTTTGCAAATGAAAACATTTTGACTTTGCATAAAAAAGCTCTTTCAAAAAGAGCATAGAAAAGCAAAATGATTCTTTCTGAGCTTTAACGCCTCATTGGGGGCCAGATCTGATGTCTGAGGCTTTTGAAGTTGTGGACGTGTGCATCTGTATGTACACCAGTGGAGGGAGAGCTTTATCGCCAAAGGTCTTATGCAAAGGGAGCAACAGCCTCCCAGTCCATTCGTAATCAAAGTATTAATTGTCCATCTACCTGAACATGGTCTGTCCAGTTCTCTTCCGTCATGCTTTTCTGAAAAAGAGGGAGAGTAAAGGTGAGTCACCTCTGTCATATTCCATGACTGTTTACTGACAAACATACAGGACAAACCAGCAAGGATAGGGGGATCAGTGATCGCTGCACTAGACTGATACACAACAGCCTGCTACATCAGGCCCTGCTGGACACACATCGTTAGTCCGATATGAAGAGGCAAGTGCGTGCGCCATTTTAAGCTTGGCGTTTTGACCAAGCTGCATAATGGTTAATGCTGAAGAAGCACATTTCATGCAAGTTTGAAGGTTTTGGGAACCACGACAGCAATTCCATGGACTTGCATAGATCCATTCATTTCCAAGGAAATCCAGAAGTAACTTCCAGATAGAAAGCACCCTCTGGGAATACTTCTCTTATTGCTACCTGTTCATGCCAGACACTAAACGTCCTACCGCAGCACAGAGACAGAAAACCGCCTCACCTCCACAAACCTTTTATACATGAGGAATCTGAGGGAGTCCAGCCTTCTCTTGAAGACTGCATTGGGGCACAAGGCTGGAACAGAGGAAGGCAGCAGGATTAGGGACGATAATAACTGTTACCCCCAAAAACGTTTACGAAAGAGAGCAGGTTGTAGAACTATTTTCCTCGCAGGATGCTACCTTTGGCACCGTTCAGCTGATCTATTCTGTGCTGTTTGTCCTTCATCCCCCTCATACAGCCCCCCCGGCCCTGCCTGCCTCAGGCTCCAGGCCTTGGATGGGCCGACTGGTCACCAGAGTCTCTGCAAAGGCAGCTGTCGTCGATGCCACCGTTCACCCCCTATAGTCAGCTCAGTTGGGTTTATTTGTCGTACGCACCAGTGCAGTGAAATGCTTACGCAGGTCTCTCTGGACAACAGAGGTGACTGGCGCCGATGACGGCTAACAATACCATCATCATCATCTGAATTATTACAGTCACACAGACGAACCACACAGGAGAGGGGGGCAGGAACTCCAATATCGACACGAGCCTCAGCTGTCCGCTGGAGCGCAAAGCCCACAAGCGGAGCGAAGAAAACAAACAACGAGGGAATGTGTGGTCCGGGGGGGGGGCGCCCCTCATCAGAACCCTGCTCCGCCACTGCCCCCTGCTGGTCACGGCCCGGAGCAGCAGCCAGCTTCACTCCTCCAGCTCCGGCGTTTACAGACCTGGGTCGACGGCGAACCGCTCCATCAGCCGGAACACCTGTTTGCTGAGCACCTTGGGGTGCAGCCGGTCCCGGTGGTGCTGGGAGAGCTGGAGTTTGGGGTACCGGCTACAAGATAGACAGAGAGAGAGAGGGAGTGCAGGCCTGTGAGTGCCGTGTGAATGTCTGCGCTTTCGAACTCAAGAAATCCTGTTAAAAGCACGCTAAGGTACGGTAAAGTATGGTAAGGCAAAGCTAGACTCTGGAAATACATGGAAAAGGACTGTAAATCCACAATACACTCACAGGAGATCCACTAAAACGCACTCAACATTTACTATGGTAAACTTATGGAACGCTCTGCAGCAGAAAGGAATCTCCACTGAAAACCGACTTCAGACGGTACCAGCTCAATTGTCCACCCCTCGTCTATGACAATACCCGTCCACCCTACCCCAAACGATATAACCTCTAACCCCAACCTGTAACTGCAATGCAAAGCTGTTGGAAAAAGACAAGACAAAGGGAGGCTTTTTTTTCCATCGAAGTGTGAGGCATTACTGTGCAGCACTGATAAATGTCCCTCTGTCACTTCCTGTCCCTGTTTTTTTTTTCTGTGTGTGCTAATTTCTCCCTGAAGGTTATTTTTGTCGAACTAGTATTTCAGAGTGGCAAATAAGAGAGAGAAAATAAGAATCGACAATTGCTCTAGGCTGGAGAACCTGAATTGCAGGATGTGCATTACTCTGCTGATGCCCTTACACGGGGCAATTTAAAATTAATAAGACAAACACGTTCATCAAACACATTTTGATGCCCTCGGGGGACGCTCGGCAGCAGAGCCCAACAACAATACAACATAAAACCCTCACCGAGAAAAAAAATCAACATTTCAAAACAAATGATTTAACTTTATTCAAAAGTAAAATTGCAGGGGGGGGGGGGATTCCCTCAATCTTTTTCTGGTGCACCTCGTGGCTCAGAGGTGGCCGTAGCGTCCATTCCAAATGACAGCCTTCAACAGACGGCGCAGATCAACCTCACAAGCTGCAGAGCACCTCGCGCAGTAATTAGATAATTAATGCGGTCAAAAAATGTTAAAAATGGTTGGTGGAAATATTTCCTTTCCCGTCTTCCCCTCCCTTTCCCACAGACACGGAACAGACGAGGCTCTGTGTGCTCCGAGAGGCAGCGGGGTCATTAAGCCAGCTACGGGCTACTGCGTGCGCTAATGACCGATGGCGACGGCTCGTTGGAGAAGGTGGTTGTGGTTTCAGCGCGTAGCTACGCGCTCGTCCGCTGAACCGCTGCCCGCAGAATTAATCCCAGCGGCGCGGCAATTAAAAAGGATCGACCCCAAGACGCACAGGGGCACTGGATCAAGCAACATCAGGCAGGCGCTTCGGGGACGTCTGCTACAAAAGCAGCAGCTGTGTTTTATGACCCTAAAACTACACTTCATTTCTTAATTGAATGGGTAACCCATGTCAGTTCAGCTGAGAAAAGTCCAGCTTCTAAAGTTCGTTTTCTTTCCAATATCTGGAACAGACATCGCGCTTCCTGTGTGAGAAGAGGCCGAAAGAGGATACGGCAAATCCGAGAGTGGAAAAATGGGTCTTTGGCATTTTCTTCCAGTGCGTTACCAATGTGCTAAAAAAAAAACCGCTTATCGCATTAAATCTCCAAAACTCTTTCCCATGTAAATGTATTTAAAAAAAAAACATTTTTAAAAGACCTGTATCTTAAAGCAGTTCGATTAGGGAGCTGCGTCAGCATGCGTAGGCTGCAAAGGAACAAGTGAAGGTTTTTTCCCTGCTGAAAAGAGAGCCTCCTGGAGAGCCTGTGGAGCCTTCTTCGGGTGTCCACAGCCGAAACGTGTTTGTGGACACTCTTCTCTTTTCAGCGTGGAATAAACCTTTACTTGGTCCCCTGCACCTTCAAGCCAAACATCAAAATATGACATTAAAGAAGAATGGGGTGCAATAAAGGGCCTACATTCCGAAATGCATTCCCACCTAGACTCTTCCCGGTAGCCGGCAGGCTGGGAGGGGTCGAGATCCATACCTGAGCAGGTGTGCCAGACTGAAGTCTGGGCCGCACCAGGAGTCGAGCAGCCTGACCAGCCGCTCCTGCAGGGACGGGTGCCCGCGCACCAGCGACTCCACCAGGCTCTGCTTGTCCAGGAGGATCAGGGGCACGCACACCTGTGGGGGCGGAGGGGCGCGGTGAGTGTGGGCACCGCGCGGGAAACACCAAAGGCGCCCTGCTGTCCCCCCCCACACTCTGAACCGCTCAATCAAACGGTCTCCGGCCAGGAACCTGGGGATCCACCACCAGTTATAACCTCAAAAACCTCTGTTGCTTCACACTGTATGGACACCACATTAATTGCCACTCGATTGCCATTTAAATGAGCAGCAAGACCTTTTCCGGGGTGCAGCTCCAGCTACACCTCCCTAATTATTCTCTCAAGGGTCGTTAACCGATTGACAGTAACTCGGAGAGTGGCAGAAATCCAGACGGAGCGCCCCCCTCTGAGGGAACTGTTGCACCCCCACGCTCTCCGGACATCCCCACCTCCTCCACGTCCTGGTCTGCCTGCAGCTTCAGCTTCATGCTCAACAGCGCCGCCTGCAGGGGGGGGAGAAGATAGCGACGCCCCCGTGAGCGACAATAGAATAAATGTGGCAGTCGGTAACAAAAACCTGTTCCAGACAGCGGCTGCAGCCTGAAGGGGGGGGGGGGGGGGGTTGAATCTGCCCCTCACCTCTCTGTAGCTGCCACGGGCCAGCAGTTGCCCCCTCTGCTCCAGCAGCAGGTCCCGGTCCAGGGAGGCCAGCTGGAAGATATTCAGCAGGGCATCGGCGAAACTGGGCTGGTTCTCCACGATGAACCCCAGGGCCCGCAGCTGCAGGGGGCGCACCCTGGCCGCCGGCACCCCCTGCAGGCCAGCCTGGGGGTGCAGCCTCTGCCAGTGCAGGAACTCGGCGAAGATGCAGTAGCCCGGAGACGAGCTCTTCCCCTTCTGCACCCCGGGGCAGCCATCCAGAACCTCTAGCAGCCCTTCGAGGGGGTCTCCCAGGGCCGAGAAGCCCCTCTGTGCCACGGCATGCAGCTGGGGGGGGGGAGGGGGGGCACAGAACGAACACAATCTCAATTGTTTTGTTCACCTCAAGCACTGCTAAGCACACACACACACGTGCATTAAAACACAGGCGCCGGGGGTGGAGCCAAGATCAACGTCAAGTCAAAATGGTAACGGAGGCGTTTCTGTGGACTTTGCACTCCAGGGAACACTGGGGAAAAAATAAAAGGGCTTGGCTGGCCACTCGCCCACCTTCTGCAGAATTCTCGCAGCTCGTAATAGTACATTAGGATTTCGACAAAAGTCACACTGTCTGTCTACCTGCAGTGCTGCTCCACCCAATGACAGCCTTGCAATGTGAAAGGGAAGACCTAAGCCTGAAACTTGGGTTCAAGGGCTTTCAGAGCTGCAAAAGTGCACATGGATTTCTCCATTCCTCATGAAGGGACGGGCCTGTCACACCCCTGCCATTTACCAGGCACTGAATTTGGCTCAGATTTGCCTGCTCTCGGGCTTCTCGAACCCTTCCCAGTGGTCACCTTCCATAGCCGAGAAGATCCCGAACAGGGGAGCCTGACCGAGCCCAGCACAACGTTAACTAAAGACCCCCCCCCCGACGACCAGGGGAGCGTGCAGTTCAACTATTTGAGCAGCATCGCGGTTGTGCGGCTGACCGGGTTCCAAATGCATCCGGTTCCAAAGCCCGCTTTCTTCAACGCTGGGCGAAACCGAAAGAGTTTAAACTTAGGTGGAGATTCCAAAACGCCCCGCACATCCAGAGGACCACGCCAGAGCACACATTTGACATCCCTGTCATCCCAGGCCGGCAGAACCCTACCTCTTCGAACTCCTTCCTGGCCCACAGAGCGAGCAGGGCGTCTCTGAGCTGGACGGGGTCAGCGTCTGGAAGACAGGAAGGTACCACTTTACTCCCTGTCCTGGGGGGAGCGGTGGATCAGTCTAACGGGGTGCTGGGGTGGGGGGGTTGGGTTAGGCGGACCACTGGGTCAGTAACGCACCCAATCCTGGAAACCCAGAGGCCTCCGTACTTTGGCTTTCACCCAGCCCCTTCGAGGGCGACGCGCCCGGCTGACGGAACGACTGGGGGGCAGGTGGAAACTTGCGGCCTTGTGGAAGGGCGGGAGCCTTACAGCCTGTCACATGACCCAGCGAGTTCCACACTTAGGCCTTTCGCGCGGCACCGAGCCATCACAGGAACTTCCTCGCGGTCCGGCTGCTCCACGCTGCCTCTGTGGTGGAAACGGTCATACGGGGGCGATTCTATCGGATCACCACGGGCCAAACGAAGGAGGACCGGCTCAATTTGTGATCTGTTTTTTCCCTGCAGCCCCGCCACCATCGACGAATCGACTTCCTCACGGAAACGCCGAGGGAGAGCGGGGGGACTTCACGCAGACGGACAGGTGACAGGTGAGCCCCTCTGGCTTTGCGACCCTTGACACCAGCGTGCGGGGGGGGGCCACCGCGGCACCCACTTGGGGAGCGAGGGGGGGGGGGGCAAGAACCCCCGCTGAGCTGCTGCTCTGCTGGAACATTACTGTATCACAACCCTGAGCCTTACCGGCTGTCGCCGCCCACGCAGTAAGAAACCAGAGCTGTTCAAGCCGCTTCCCTGTTTATTTCGTGCGTCTTGGAAGTTGTGTTTTTTAGACGGGACGGCGCGGGACGGCATTGCGTAACTTTCAGCAAGCTGACAGCGCACGATGCAGTGGTTCTGGTGCACGCTATGCGCCCTACAGCTTCCCGGTACACGGCTCCTGTGGGCTGTACCCCACTCTCACCCCACGACAGTGCACAACCCCAGCCCTATCCTACATGGTGCCGAACTACGGAAGCAAGATGGAAGAGGGGGGGGGGAGACCGAGGGGGATAAGCGGAGATCTCCTTGCACCCCCTTAGAGCCCAGGCTGTGTGCAGGGAGCCGTGGGATCACAGACAGCGCACGCAGGCGCACGCAGACCTCACACGCACACGCCCGCTCCCGGTGAGCCTTCCCTCTTGCCGTTATCTGCAACGCCTCTGCTTGCAGGGAAGCCTGGGCTCTCTGGCACGGCGGGTAATAGAAAACACATTTGCTCCTCTCAGCGCCGGGCCCCAGCGACAATCAGAGAGCGCGAGCGGGAGGAGGGAGGAGGGAGGGGCGGCTGGCACCCGCACAGCATCGTGGAGCCCAGCCGCACCAGCTGCACCAGCTGCACCAGCTGCACCAGCTGCACCAGCTGCGCAGGCCAGAGGACGCCGAGCCCCGGCGCAATGCCACCTTCACCTCCAAGCACTTAAAACTTCGCAACAAGCTAACTTACCTCTCTCATTTGCATTAGGTCATCTCTCCCCCTCCCTTTCCCAGTTATCATGCAAAGGCTACTTATCCCCTGCTGCCCGGTGTTTATTATTTCAAATATTTCGAATTTTTAATTAAAGGGACCGCACACCCCAGAGGAGCTGCCCAGGGCCATAAAGAACGCACAACGCCGTTCTGATGCACCGAAAACAGATGGCTTGGATGGGACGGATCGAACACTCACAGCCTAACAAAACCCCTGCAGCAGGACCCTGCACAGCACGTCGCCGTCGGCCTACTGTAGGTACAGGCGCTCGTGGCGAATGCCGGCTGAGCCCTGGTGATCACACCCTGCCGGACCGAGCCCGGACTGTTGGGCTGGCTGAGAGAGGGGCTGGGATTTCTCAAGCGACACAGGGGGGCCGACATGACCAGGGCACCTGCGGTCCGTCGGGAAGCGTGCAGTGTATTCAGCAGACACAGCACCTCTACACCCCCCCCCCCACCGCCACTCAATTCTAAACATCCTGCAGCCCCCGCAGCGGCGAAGAAGCCAAAAAGAGAACGCGCCGAGTCGCAGCTGCCAATTCCAAAACGGAACAAAAAGCGACAGAAGCTGGCAGATCCGTCACTAAAGGAGAAACAAGTGGATCGGCTTTCGCCGTTCGATTTCTGAGCTCGATTGGGGATCGAAGCAACAGCTCAAGGGGCAATCGGATCCAACTAGGCAGGTGCCGCCAACGTAACCGAGGGGCAGGGAACCGCCTCGGTTTTTCGGAACGGCCGAAAGGCAGCCGGAGCAATTAGGTCATAAGCCCGTCGCCGTCGCGGGCCACCTGCCAGGTCACGGCACCGCTGGGCAGGTACCACGCACACACGGAGCTCCGCCGGTGGGCGAGACAGTGGCCCAGCTCTCCCTCACTGCTTCCCCGGCGAAGGGGGGGGGGGTGTGGGTGGGGGAGGGGGTTCACAGGGGGTGTTTTTCTTGGCCAGGGCAAGATCCTGCTATCGGCATTCAAGATTCCCCGAGACGGGCTGCGGAATGGGAAGGAGTTGCTTTGGGAGGGGAAGGTGGTGGTGGTGGTGGTGGGGGGGGGGTAGATTTCGGGATAAAAGGGAAGCAAAGGGGAGACGAGCCAATCTAAACAAACCTCCCCTTGAGCAATCCCATCTGCTTGGACCTGCCTCGCTCCTTGCTCCCTCTCTCTCTGGCCGCCTTCTTCCACGCCAACACTGCCCCCCCCACACACACACACACCACCTTTCTTCCCCCACCCTCCCCCCTCTGTTTTGGAGAGTTCTGCGCTTGCCTCGGATATCCCCAGGAAAAGGCAATGCTTTGGTCATGGTGTAAAAATCCCAAAGCCCTGAACTGCAGTAACCTTCCTGACGGAGCGGTAGCCTGGGAAAATTCCTTCGCTGGCCTGGCCGGGCCGGGCCTCCCCTGAGCCATGTCACCGGGATGAACCCGGCAGCACAGTGGGCTCTCTATTCCATAGGTGCTGCCCGCCGACAGCGTCAATGCGGCATTGTCCATTCCATAGGCAGCAGGAAGTTCGTCCTGTGCACTGCCGGTATAAATGCTGCATTGTGCATCTAGAGGGAGAGATGGCAGGGACTTCCTTAGAGAGGCCAGAACGAGCCTAGAGCACGACCTGAGCTAATATTTTGCAGACGCACATTGCTCAGGGGCGGGGTGGGGGGTGGGGGGGTTGACTGAGAACATTATAAAACACGGAACAAAATACCGCAGGTGCTGACGGAGCCGGGAGACTTCAAGCGCTGCTTACGGGAGGGTTACCGCCTTGAAGCCTAGCCGGGCCGGACCCGATCGGTCCTGGCAGGGGCGGAAGGGTCCCGTTGCAAGTACCTCCTGGACCAGAACTCAATCTCTGGCGTAACGCTGTCCAGAATTTGAAAGGGGGGGGGGGGGTTTTGCTCGATCTTAAAAAAAATGGCGGTGACCCAATCAGACCGGCGGGCTTCCACGCAATCGACGAGAGTGGGCCGGACCGGGGCGAATAAAACTTGGGAACAATTCAGGACCGAAAACAGGAGACATTTCTCCGGAGGGAGGATTATCGGAGATGGATGCCAACTCCCTAATCAAGTGGTAGATGCCGCCTTTTAGTCGGAATCCTGGATTATCGCATCCATCTCGCTCGTTTATGTTGGGAAACTCTTTTGTCAAATGTTAAAGCTTTGAAAGCGTCCTCAGGAGCACATCTCCTTTCGCTTTTCCAGCTAAACCTAACGGCTCCCACTTGCACAGTTCAGTTTCCCCCCCCCCAACCAGCTTCTCATCAGCCTGTGACACACAGACGGAGCCGGGCTCTGGGATGGGAACTGGACCCCCGGCCACAACTGCGTTCCTCCGCACCTGCTCTCCGCCGAGGGAGGCCAGGAGCAGAGGAAAGCAGGATGTCGTCTGGTACCTCTGGGGGGGGGGGGGCGATCAGCAGGATCCGTGGGTCCGGCCGAATAACCCGTCCCTTCTCTCTCTCTCTCTCGGACTCGGGAGAGCGCTCCTGCTGGAGCTCCCCGTTCCCAGGCTCCGGCGCTCTCAGGAGGGAGCAGGAAGAGCTGGCACGGAGCTGCCCTTCCTGCCGGGCTGAGGGCACTTCCAGGCAGCGGGGCGCTTTGCCAAGGCGGCCAGAAAAACAGCGCCGGGGCGGGGAGAGGAGCAGGGGCAGGGAGCAGGGAGGATAGGGGGCGGGGAAGCCAGCGCAGCCGGACGGGGGAAAGACAAAAAAAAGACATAGCATCACCGCGCAGGTGGAGCACGGGAGTATGTCTCTCCCTCGCTGTGTGCAGTTTGGTCTCAACCGCCGACCACAGCGGCTGTACTGCCAAAATGAAATCGGTGCTCTCGGAGCACGCAACGCAAGAGGGAGGAGGGGGGGTGGGAGAAGCTGCTCGTGACGGAAGGAGCGCCCCCTCTTCCGGAAGAATGAGGAAGAACCGGAAGAAAACAGGAGGGATGGTTGAAAAGAAAAACACAAACGGTATATCCTGGCCAGGTACTGCACTACGCAAAGGCGCTTTCACATTTGACAAACAGCTCCCCCAACATAAGCGCGCGGCAGGTCTCCCTCGGGAGCTCCGACAAGGCCCGGACAGCGCGGGGGCGTTTTGTCCACCACCAGTTTGGCGCTCATGCATCACAGGAGGACTGGAAGGGTCTCCGATTTGCAGCTGCATGAAAACAGCTCCCCCCCCCCAGGAAAAACTGGTCAAACTCGGCTCCGTGATCTACCCGCAGGAACATTGTGACCCCCCCACCCCCCACCCCCCACCCCCGTGCTTCGCTGTCGGGAGGGGCTGCAAGTGCCAGGTCACGCGTCTTCAAACCAGCTGGACTCCCTCTTTAAAAAAAACCCCTTCAGCGCTATTGTAAACACTGAGAGACAGAAACCCCTGCAACTGGTCCCTGCATGGCTACACAAGACAGGTCTGGCAGGAGCTGCTTGAGCGGGTTTTAGTCCAGAAATCGAACCGCGGCGCACCGCGGTTCATCCCTTTCTTTGCCTTTCACTCTCTCCCCGACGCGAGGACTCCTGTTTCAAGCGCCGCTGACCCGCTCCGAACAGGGCCGGCCGCGAGGCGCGATCCGCGGGCCAGACCTGCCTGACCCAGTCCTCCGGCCCCAGTCCTCCGGCGAGGAAGGCCTCACCGAACAGGGTAACAAGCAAAGAAAACATTTGATCTGTGGGCTCCCTCTGGATCACCCCCACCCCAAAGATACGCTACATTAATCCACCCCCCCCCCTCAGGTTCCCAGGGCATGATCGCTGCCCCACTGCAACACTCTGGGGGCTCTCTGCCCACTGGGGTGCCTCAGACGGCTAGGGTGGTCCCAACAGTAGTCTAGGGCTCACAAAATGACACTGAGCAGAATACAAGCCAGCCTTCAATGCATTCCTAAAACATTCCAGATGGAAACGAGGGCCTGCTGCACGCCGCCTGGAGGGAGCCGGTGGTGTAAGGGTTAGGGTATTGTTCGTGCGGGGTTCAGGATGAGGGGCTTTGTTTCCAACACACGATTAATCAGCCACAGGGGTTACAGAGCTTACGGCAGTCACGTCACTGAATCATTACACTGAATATGATCAGAATATAACCTGCACCCTGTAATCTAGAGTGACGTCCACAAACGCCCATCCAGGGAAGAATGTACTCGCAGAGCCTGCTGTCAGCACCTCGTCACCTGGTTTTGTTTTCTTATCTACGTGAACCCAGCGTCGCTCCTCCGTTTCCGCGACGCGGCGCTGCCGGGCTCTGGTCCGATCGGACTCCCGATCGATTCCTTCGATCCACAGCGGGGCAGCACAGGGAAGGGGCTCCTTCTTCTCCCGGCGGGCGAGAGCAGGAGCGCTTGATCCGCCCTGTCCCTCCCTGGACCTCCCCGTCCCGTCCCAGATTGTCCCACCTCGGACTGTCCCTCCCTGGACCTCCCCACCCCACCCCGGACTGGCCCTCCCTGGACTGTCCCACCCTGGACTGTCCTGTCTCGCCCTGCCCCTGCACTCACCCCGGGCCTCGGAACCTGCGCTCATCTTTCACTCTGGGACGTCCCGGGATGACAGCTCCCCCGGCCGGCCTGCTGCTCCCGCTGCCCTGGGGGGAGAGAGGAGGCACAGGGGTGAACCAGCGCCGCTGCAGGGAGACTGGGGCTGGCATCTGGGGGGAGAGAGGAGGCACAGGGGTGAAACAGCGCCACCTGCAGGGAGACTGGGGCTGGCATCTGGGGGGAGAGAGGAGGCACAGGGGTGAAACAGCGCCACCTGCAGGGAGACTGGGGCTGGCATCTGGGGGGAGAGAGGAGGCACAGGGGTGAAACAGCGCCACCTGCAGGGAGACTGGGGCTGGGATCTGGGGGCCGCGGGGAGTGCTCATGGAGCTCTGGGGGCTGTCGAGTGTTGTGTGTGTGTTTCGGGGTGGTGGGGGGTACCCCAAAAATCCTGGAGAGGCCTCAGTGCCCGACAACGGGCCCTGCAAATGAAATTGCTCGTTATAACATCCCCCCCCCCCACACACACACACACACACACACACTCACAACCCCGTGCATGCTACACTGAACACGTTAAATCTCCGTTGGGTTCCCCATCTTCACGTGGTCCGACCCAAATTTAACCCGAGAGGCAGGGGACGGGGGGGGGGGGGGGGCGGGGGGGGGTTCCCCCCTGAAAGTGCCAGCTTGGGGGAAAAAAAAAAGAGGTCCCCCAGCAGGGCGCCCCCCTGTCCCCAAATCCTACAGGTCTTCGCCCCGTGAGGGGCTGGAGGGGGCCGACGGCAGCCCGAGGTGTCGGGGCCACGTCCCCAGCTCTCTCTCGGCTCCGCACAGGCAGCGGAGAGGAAGGCTGGGGGGGCTGCTGGCCCAGGCCCAGCTGCCCTCTGGGAAACGCAGTCATAGACGGGGGAAGTCTGCCAGCTGGACCGGGGAGAGAGTTTCTGCTGGGTCGGAGGATGTTTTCTTAGGTCTGGAGTTGGCTGTTTCTTTTTCTCTGCTAACACAGTGGGAGTCTCTTGGCTCACAGCCCCTCACTTTGCAGCTCAGAGGAGTGTGAGCCAGGCTCCCACAGAGCAGGGATGCTCTCTGCCGCCCTCCGGTGAAGGGCCTGAGGCACTGCGTCACCAGCCCCCCCCTGGTGGGCTAATTCTAATTAGAATTAGAAGGAATTCTAATGCAAAGGGCTCTCAGTTCTTTCTGTTCATGCCGACCCGGGCAGGAACGCGTGGGCTCCGTTGTTTTCTGAACTGTCCAGATTTTCTGTCCATTTCATCCAATTCGGAGATTTGAAGCTTTTGAACTGCAATATTAAACTATCAAGGGCTGAACGTTGCTGTTAGGCCAGTTAGGAACACAGCTGAAGACCACTGTTAAAAAGTCATCTAGATATATTACACAAAAATAATTTAAATGTTCACAGTCACATCTTATATATGTAATCTGCATATAGCCACATGTTCATAAGAATAGCACTGCCTTTGTCGCCCCCTGGTGGTCATTCCCTGACAATACAGCTACGGTCTCCAATCGGCACTTGATAGTACAATAAGAGATGGTTTTGCCCTCATAAATTCAAATTCTTCATATATAACAATTGTAAATACACACAGTAAGAACCTGTGCAGAGAAATGGGCTGCTAATTCCTTAAGAAACTAGGCCCAAAAGAACAGGGTGATAACACACATTGCCCGAGACTTCACCAATACCACTACAGCAAGGACACTGAAGAGATGCACGTGTTCACTGCTCGCACTCTCCTGACCAGGTCAACCCAGTCAATACAAGAAGTGATGCAAGATATCGGTGCAAAAAAACCCAACAATCACTGTACGTTACTAAACAGTTTCTCGCAACTGGTTTTACAATGAGGCACGTGGAGTCACAACAACCTGGAAAACGACGGCACTTGCATAATCTATTTTTTCCGGCCTTCACAAGGTGCAATGAGGGATCTTCCCTGCATCACAGATGGAGAAACAGCCCACCGACAGACGCTGAAAATCTCTTTTTTGACCCCGGGCACGTCTCTCACCCAGCCATGCTCGACTCCAGCCAGAGCTGGCGTCTCTAAAGTGCGTCTCTCTCTGGCTCTCTGAGACCGCCCGTCCGCTGCCTGAGTGCGAAAAGAGCCAGGGGATTATTGCTGGGAAAGGCGAACGGTCATCACTGCCCAGAACTGCCCTGTTCGTAGCAAAGCCATCGCTCAGGTTTCTCGATCAATACCGCAAGGCCTCCGATCAATACCACAGGGCACCCGATCAATACCGCAAGGCCTCCGATCAATACCACAGGGCACCCGATCAATACCGCAAGGTCTCCGACCAATACCGCAGAGATCCCCATCAATACCGCAGAGATCCCCATCAATACCGCAGGGTTCCTTGATCAATACCGCACTGCCCCTGATGAAAATCGCAGATCCCGATCAATACTGCAAGGGCCCTGATTAATACCGCAGGGTTACAATATTCTTCTTCTTATTAATCCCTTACACTTCCTGATCAACACCGCAGGGCTCCCAATCAATACCACAGAGTCCCCAATCAAAACCTCCTTCCTTTGCTTGTATGAGAGGTGGAGGGACACACCCACTAGAGAACTGTGATGCCACAGGGCCCTTCTGCACCAAAAAGACTGAGAGCCCCCCCACCTTCCTTCTTGAGCTCTCTGCCCTCTGACCCAATGCAGTTACCCTTCCGTTTCCAAGGGGGGGGACGGAAACACGGGAAAAAAAGACGACAAAATCCTCAGTGTGCAGCCCCACCTGGATGATGCGCCAGTCCGCTCCCCACACACCAGCTCTCATTTGGCCACTGGGGGGTAACACCCCTACTCTTTTCGAGAAACACCCCAGGTTTGTTAATGACCACAGAGAGTCAGGACCTCAGTTTTACGCCTCATCTTTAGGACGGCGCCTTTTTACAGTATAGTGTTCCCCTCACTATACTGGGGCATTAGGACCCACACAGACCGCAGGGTGAGCGCCCCCTGCTGGCCCCACTAACACCTCTTCCAGCAGCAACCTCAGTTTTTCCCAGGAGGTCTCCCATCCAGGTACTGACCAGGCTCACGCCTGCTGAGCTCCAGGGGGGCTGCCAGCAGTGACCAGCAGGGTGAAAGAGCAGCTGGCATAAGTCTCTCAAGCGCGCAAAACAATTTTCCCTGGGATAACCGGGATAATCCGCATTCCAAAAGAGCTCATCACTTCCCGGGAGAGGCGCTTCTGGGAAGAAAGATCTGTCCCGCTGGTTTCCGGTGAGGAGGGGGAGGCTAGGCCAGGGGGTGAAGGGGGTCATGTCAACGGCTCGGTCCGGAATATCTGGGAAAGCAGGGAGAAGGGAGGGCCCGGATGAAAGCTTGCTCAGGGTCCCGGCCTGAGAGCCGAGGAGCGACACCTGGCTGGGAGCGGCCTGTCGCCTCTGGGGGCGGGAGGCTAAGGAGGGGGCACGAGGCAGGCCCACAGCCACACTCCCGACCCCCCAGGGGGAATAAAGACCGGCACGGGGCCGGGGACGCAGCTCAGCAGATTGCTGGCGTGATGCCTCCTTTTGTCATTGTAATGCCCCCCCACCCCCGCCAATTAGGGGAACAATAGAGGCACGCGCTCGATCCGCTGGGAGCCCCCCTACTCCCCTCCAGCACCGTGATGCTCCAGCAGACGCAACGCCAAGCGAACGCCAAGCTACTCGCTCAGCACCCCCCCCACACCACGCCAAGTAACGGCCTAACCCAGTCCGCTCCCCCACACACCAGTTCTCAGTGGGGAGGACAGCAGAGCAATGGATGCGATGGATGATGGATGATTTGGCCAGGACACTGGGGCAATACCCCCTACCTCAGCTTTCCCAGGAGGTCTCCCATCCAGGTACTGGCCAGGCGCACACCTGCTGAGCTCCAGTGGGGCTGCCAGCGGTGAGCAGCAGGGTGACAGAGCTGCTGACAAACACCCCAGCTTGGTGACATCTCCGTTTCAACACCGCATCACACTTCTCACCGAAAGCCCGTCTGGATTTTTTTCCCCATCCGATCTGTCTGATTTCGACTCCCGCTCCTGAAGGGCCTCTCGTTTTTACGCTGCGCAGGAGCGAAAGTCAGCTTAGACCGTCTGCTGAAGAAGCTGCCCTATTTCATTTCCAAACGCTTGTTTTTTAACCAGCTGTGGTGAAAGTTGAGACTGAAAACAAGTGATCCCGTCAGTGTATTCTACACAGAGAGCACAGTAGTAGAGAGCCGAGGAGTTTACTGCCATAATTACACGTACACTGGGGTTCTCATGCGCTCTGATCTCTCGGGACACACGCAGTACAGCAGACAACACCACACAACGTAGACAGTACATCACAGAATAATTACAACCAGCAACAATAAATGAAAAAAAAAAACACTGTACACCAGGCAAAAAAAATGAAGAGTGCAGAGGTGCACTGAGTTTGAGGGACTGCAGTTATAGCTGTTGAGGTTGCATACTGCAGTACGATAGATGCTGTTCTTTAGCCTGATTAAGTCTAGTTGCAGTAATAATTAATAATAATAATAATCCCTTACAGTTATGTAGCACTTTTCTGGACTCTCCACTCAAAGCGCTTTACAGGTCATGGGGATCCCCTCCACCACCACCAGTGTGCAGCCCCACCTGGATGAGCACCAGTCCGCTCCCCACACACCAGCTCTCAGTGGGGAGGAGAGCAGAGTGATCCGGACGCCAGATCAGAGATGGGGGTTATTAGGAGGCCATGACTGGTAAAGGCCAGGGGGAAATTGGGCCAGGATGCCAGGGTAACTCCCCTTCTCTTTTCGAGAAACGCCCTGGGATTTTTAATGACCACAGAGAGTCAGGATCTCGGTTTTACGTCTCATCTGAAGGACGGTGCCTTTTTACAGTATAGTGTCCCCGTCACTATACAGGGGCATTAGGACTCACACAGACTGCAGGGTGAGCGCCCCCTACTGGCCCCACTAACACCTCTTCCAGCAGCAACCTGAGTTTTTCCCAGGAGGAAAGGAGTTGCAGAGTGATATGTTCCAGTTAAGGCGGGTCATCATTACAGTGGTTGGGGCGTTCTGACCTTGGAAAACTCCAAAAACTGCGGAGAGAGAGAGGCGACTCAGCAACTTACACGCGTAGCGAAGGGGCACCGCCGTGACTCCAGGCGCAACAGCGACCCCCACCGGCGGCGCCTGGGAGAACACACACACAAGAGACAGGAATGAGTCGGCAAACGCGCTTCACACGAAGTGAAAACATTCACACATCAGACATGCTGGCGACCGCCTCTTCAGACATCACCCGTGTACTTACAGCCGGCAAGGTCTCAAACTGAGCTCCAAACAGCGGCTGAATCACAATATTGCTCTGTGACACTCGGGACACTGTATACGGGATCCTGTCTCCCATCCCGTTTTCAGGAGCGCAAATATTAGCCATATTAGTAGACTTAAACTCGCCGAAGGCACATGAAATACAAACGTGAAGCAAGCGAGTTTTTTTTTTTTTAATTTTAACGTGGAATTGTTTTTTTTAACCACGAGTGCGGAGGTGAACGAGACTTTAAAAAAAAATCAAAGCTCTTCACTAGTTCATCTCCGACACAGACTTACACGGGTGGTTGTTGTTGTTGTTGTTGTTGTTCTGGTTGGCTGTTTTTTTTTTTAATTTTTATTTCGTTATCCTGCCCGGCTGCTGCTTGGGTCCACACGGAAATTGTCAAGCGCTGCCTTCGGGACCCTGAAGGTGCTTCGCTGTCTACACAAACACACACACACGCACACGGTTAAAACAAACACAGCTGGCTAAAATAACGTTTTAAAAGAGGGCGAGGAGAGGAATAACTAAACTCCCCGCAAGACAGCCGCTTTTCTCCCGGACGCGACAACTGGACGAACCCTCCTAAGTTTCTGTGCCGTGTCCACCCGGCCCCGGGTTGTTGTTGTTGTTGTTGTTGTTGTGTTGTGGTGCTGTCTGTGAGGGGGACAGGGCCGCCTGTTACCCGGACCGCTCCTCAGCGCGCGCACACGCTCGCGGCGGCGGCAGCGGCAGGAAGTCGATTCGATTCGCCCGTCGGAAGCGAGCGCAAGAGGGGCACGTGAGCGTGCCCCGCGGAAATGCTTCCCCCCCCCCCCATCCACCACCACCTCGGAACCTTCGCGGGCGGTGCCGCTTGTTCGCTCCGTGCCGCCACCCCCGTTACGCATGACGTGTTCAGCAAACGTGTGGATTTCGGACTGTAATTATCCGCGTTAGGACCATGTTGCAAAACATTCTGTGCCTGTATATATATACACACACACGTTCATCAGTACCGCGAATTTGATCAAACGACTACTGTGATATTCTCACGACGTTTTAATCTGTTAAAATGACACTTTCTGGATTCGTTTTTTTGTGGATATTGTAGAATTCGTTACGATATATACAACGTTGTGTTGGCTTAGAGTCGCAGAACTTGATCTTTAAAAATTTAAAGGTGAATGTCGGATTTAAGGAGTTTGATGTTATGTTGTACGTATTGGCAGATGTCATATGAAAAAACATATCTAATTATATACACAGAACGGTCTGTTGCTATTCACACCTTTAATGCTTATAAGGTGTAAATGCAATTTTGCTTAAATTCCAGTCTTCAAAATAAGGCAAAAGGCTCAGGTGATGTAAGACATTTAAGTAACTGTTATGGTATTCAGGTCTGTAATAATCTCTGGCATCGTAATGCTTTGAGTTTTTTTTTTTGTTCACTTATCTTTTTAGGATACCTTTTCTCCTTTGTGTTGATGTTCAATAAAAAAAATGAAAGAAATATTCTCAGGAAGTGTCGACTTTATCATGGAACTATTTTCTCTGATGAAGAGCATTTGTTTTCTCATATAATACTAGTTAACCACATAAGCAAAACTCCCGATGAGTAAACAAATGTGGATTTTAGATGTTGATTTCAAAGCAGAAGAGGGAGACAGTTAAGTACTGTTTATTTAGAAGAACGAGTAATAGGTTTATTCCACGCTGAAAAGAGGAGAAAGAAAACACAGCGTTTCGACCTGAAGGAGGCGCCGCGGACGAAATGCGGTGTTTTCTTCTCTTTTCAGCAGAATAATCCTATTACTTGTTCCTTTGCAGCTTACGCATGCTGACGCAGCCGCCCACCCGAACTGTTTATTTAGAGGTTAGTCGATTAGCCTGCCCCGTGCTTCTCACAAGTACGCCCGGAGGGGTGTGTACACCAGAATAAAGAGACCCCCACCGCTGCAACGACAGCTTTCATTTTGCATTTTGTATTTGACTAAGGCGCGGTGTCCGCTACGCGCGGCACCTGGCAGGCTTGTCACGTGAAAGGCGCGCCCTCGCTGGAGCCGGGGCGTGCTGCCTGGCACCCTCGGTCACGTGAGCCCCCCCCCTCCTCCTCCCCTCGGGCCCCTGGTTACGGGGGAAAGCGTCGCCAAGGAAGTGGAACGTCCGGGCGCCGCGAGGGGAGCAGCAGCGGTCCCTGCGTGTCCAGCCCCACGCGTGTGCAGGACACTACGCGTGTAGGTCCGAACAAAGCTGGCACCGGCACTCTTCCAACCCAGAGTGTGGAGGTGCGCCCGGGTAGTACTATCTGCCTTTTTAACGGGTGAGAGACTTCAGCATCCCCTTGCTGGGTGAAAGACAGCCTCTGTCGTTTTGGGATTTTTTCTCCCTCTCTCTCTATATATATATATTTAAAACATTTACGAGCCGAAATCGGAATCGCACGCAGTAGAACTGTAATAACCGGCCGGTCTTGGCGGATCTATGAAATACGAGCGCACACACGCGGCGCTGGCAGCTCCAGCCGTGTCTGGGACGGGAGATCGACGGTGCCGCTCCTCACGGCGTGTCGGTCTCTTGTGCGGCTGTTCGTACGAGACTTGTATCCTTCCAGCTCATGCAAACCAGCTCAAATTCCGCTCCCTAATCGCGCCGTACAAATAACACAGTCCCGTATTTGAATAGCGCCATGCAAATGCGGGCAGGTTGAGTTTCCTCACACCCGTGCTGTTGGACGCGCCGTTTCTTCCTTGTAACTCTCGGCGGATTTTAGTCGTTTCCTTCATCTTCTTTTTTTTTTCTTTCGGGCGCGTAACAGATGAAGTCAAGCCTGAAGCCGGTCTCTCTTACAGCCACCCTCTTCCTCCTCTGCGCCCCCAGCGGCGGTATTGACTCTTTCCTGCTGTTACCGCCGCTTCTTTGGCGATGCTCTGGGGATGTTTGGTACATTCTCCGGAACACCGCAATCATGCCAAGCGAGCGGAGGCCGTTCGGTAGCTGCTGGGACTTTCCAGTGAGGCGCCAGCGCGAATCTGCGTATCTTGTTCCCTCCTCCCACCCCCCTTTGTGTAAAGAAGCGCCAGTTTCTGGAGACCAGCTGGGCGTCAGAGCGCAGGGTCAGGGTCATTTTCAAACAGCGCCCCTGGAGCAGCTGGGGTGAAGGGCCTTGCTCAGGGGCCCAACAGAGTAGGATTCCTCTGCCAGGCCGCGGGATTTGAACCGGCAACCTCCCAGCCACAGGCGCAGATCCTGAGCCACCGTCCCGCCTCTCAATGCCAACCATCCAGAGCCTGTAAGATACCGAGAGTCTCGGGACACACAGGGGCTGTCCCCATTAAAAGCTGCGAACTGAGGCTTTTCCTGCACAGGGGGTCAGGCCTGTAAATGGCAGCAGGGAGATCAGAGTCGCGCAGGCTCTGCTGGGGAGACACAGAGGAGACAGAGAGAGTGAGGCAGGGCCTCACCTTATCCTACTGAGCCGTAATGCGGAGTAATAGGATTGACGTGCACCTGCTTCTGGGACGAGCAGGCACTCCGGGGTCCAGCCTGCGGGGCGCTCGTCTCCCGAGAGTCGGAGGGGAGGGGGGTCGGATCCCCGCGGGTCAGAAATAACCGTTTCCTCTCTCCCTCCTCCCCCCACGCCGGCAGACCCAGGGGACCTGGCCGGGCCTCTCACTGCTCTCCGCCAGGCCCTTCCGGCGGTGGTGGTGGTGGTGGTGGGGGGGGTGGCGATGGCACCCGGAGGCAGGCCGTGACCCAGCGGACCGGCTGGGGTGGGGCGCCGGCGCAACCACGCATCCCGACTCCTGACCGGGCGTCCGCGGACATGGGGAAGCGGCAGAGCAAGGTCAGGCGACGGACATCGGCCTACAGGTAGGGGTCACCCCCCCGGGTGGGGCCGCCCCCCTCGAATTGCCCCCACGCCCTTATCTCTATTCCGAGATTCCGACAGGCACTTACTTTTGCCGGGGTTATTTAGATCGGACCGGATTTCTACCGTCATTTCCCCGGCGGTCCCTCGGTGGGGGGGGTGCACATTGGTGGCGGTAGTGGGATTCCCCATGACCTGTAAAGGGCTTGGAGTGGAGTGTCCAGAAAAGCCCGATAGAAGTGCAAGCGATTATTATGACTGATCTAAGCGCGATAGAAGTGCAAGCGATTATTATGACTGATCTTTCGCCGGGTCGTTTTTGTTAACCCAAAGCGTGACCTTTGGGGACAGCAATTTTTGCCGGCTCTTCATCGGCTCATTTGGGCCGTTTTAATTCAGTGCGGGATGCCAGACACTAGACGTAATGATAAATAATAATTCATACGAGTCAGAAAGTGCTTGGCCGGTTTATGAAATCCAGTATTGCGCTATCCCAAGGAACAATACTACTGAACCGGCAGGCTTATCTGTAAATAGGACGAAGCACGCGCCCAGCGAGCTACTGCTGCAGAATGTAGATTTGCGTTTTCATTACACATCAGCGTGTATCCCCAACATCTTCATTATTACCCCTGGTCTTCAGCTGATGTATCTAGAAAGGAGGCCCTGGTGGGTTTGTGTAAAAAACAGTCCAGACGTGGAAAAGCGCAGGATTGTAGTGAGGCACTGGTCACGCCCTGATGTACAGCAGCACCTAACCGATTCGAAGGTCCTGCTTTCAGACTGTGAAAAAACGGACAGGATGACGTGATGGCAAGCAGGCAGAGGTGGGGGCCAGGCCCGGAAAAAAACAGCTTTAGATCAGTGAGGTGCCTCCTAGATTGAACCAGCTGTTCATCTGAATAAACGAGACCCTCTCCTCTGTAGCTGCACTTAGTTAAGATCAGATCACTTTATCAGCCCTATACAATTTCTCGCATTAGGAATTTGTCTTTTCGCAGACCCCAGCTTGCTCTCCCTGAGACACACAGACAGGGAGAGAAGCTGGGGGTCAGAGCGCAGGGTCAGCCATTTATATGGCGCCCCTGGAGCAGCTGGGGTGAAGGGCCTGGCTCAGGGGCCCAACGGAGTAGGATTCCTCCGCCGGCTGTGGGATTTGAACCGGCAACCTCCCAGCCACAGGCGCAGATCCTGAGCCACAGAGCCCCTGCTCCGCCTGTTTTCACCGCGCAGAAAGGGAATAATTGTGTCTCTGCAGGGCCGTGACAGGGGCGGAAGACAGCTCTCCCGGTGAGCAGGAGGTGCAGTACAGCGCCGCGCACAGCGGCGCCGTCAACTCAGTGGCGGCTTTGACCTCCGACCTCTGCGTATCTGGGGGAAGCGACAAGGTAACGGGGGGGGTGTATGGCGATTCTCCCTTGGTGGGTGGGTGGGGCACCCATCCTCAGCCTCCCTGTTAGAAGATGAGCCCCCTTTTCCTCTGTAAAGGGACACCGTGGAGCCTTGTGTGATGAGGCGTGTGTTCCCCCGAGCACCCACTTGGAAGATTTCTGCTGCCAGGGTGGAATCATCAACCTGCCTCCTTTAAAACGCGCTAGTAGGGAATATCACCTCAGCAACATTTCTCCGCTGAAAGAAAGTTTCTCTGCCTGGCTTCCTTCACAAGATCGGGCCTTGACGTCACGTCCGTTGTCACATGTTCTATACCGTTCGGCGTCGCGGGAAGCCGGAGCCTACCCGGCAAGCAGCTCATCGCCATCTCTTTCCTCCCAGGCTGTCGTAGTGTACAACTGGAGGTCGGGCCGGCTGTACCAGAGGCTTCAGGGCCATACGAGGGAGGTGACGAAGGTAGGTTCATCAGCTGCAGTCCCGAACAAACGCCCAGTATGGTCCGAAGCTGACGATCGTTGTCCTTGGTGGATCGGTGAACTCATAGTCCTTACAAGCCCCTATCTCTTTCTCTCCGTGTGGCTGAGCGTGGAGAAAAGAGGAGGTGATTTTCCCAACTTCCCGAGCTTCTCCTCTCCCCCCCTGCCTTGCTCCGGGGGGGGGGTGGCTGACCGCCCGCTGTCTGCGCAGGTGGGGTGCGTCTACAGCTCCGGGAGGGTCTTCAGCTCTTCCAGGGACAAGACCGTCCTCATGTGGGATCTGGACAGAGGGGACCAGCCGGTGGGGAGGTTCTGCGGGCACGACCTGGTGGTCAGCGGCCTGGCGGTCAGTCCAGGTACGAGAGACGCTGCGCCGATACAGCCGCGCAGAAGCCGTGACCAGCAAACAAATAGCACTTTAGAAGAAAAGGCGTTCGGTTATGTTGGATCATTCTCCAATATGACACATAGCTTACTGTGAACTTACAGAGATCATTGTTGGGAACCAGTTATTAAAAGATAAAGGAAAACTCTGGTGAAAAAGTAATACAGGGAAAACAGGTCATGGGGGATCCCCTCCACCACCCCCACCAGTGTGTACCCCCACCTGGATGATGCGCCAGTCCACTCTCCACACACCAGCTCTCAGTGGGGAGGAGAGCAGAGCGATGGAGCCAGTTCAGAGATGGGGGTTATTAGGAGGCCATGACTGGTAAAGGCCAGGGGGGAAATTTGGCCGGGACACCGGGGTAACACCCCTACTCTTTTCGAGAAACGCCCTGGGCTTTTTAATGACCACAAAGAGTCAGGACCTCGGTTTTACATCTCATCCAAAGCATGGCGCCTTTTTACAGTATCCCTGTCACTCTACTAGGGCATTAGGACCCATACAGACTCCAGGGTGAGCGCCCCCTACTGGTCCCACCAACAGCTCTTCCAGCATTATGTTTAATTCCATAAACGGACACTGACAGACTAGCTCTGCCAAAATGGACTGTTGTCAATAATTACACCGTTATGCCACTGTTAACGGAACCTACCACAGTCCCGTGCAAGACCGTGACCTAGCTTCAGTAAATTAAAAACAACCTGCGTGCTCTTCAAATTTGATCGCATCTTGAGGTGTAAAACACCGCTGTGATTTGTGTCGTCCCAGACGGCTCTCGGCTTTGCACGGGGTCCCGGGACAATTCCCTGTGCCTGTGGGACATCGAATCCGGGGAGATGCTGCTGAAAAACTCCATTTCCAGAAACCTGGTAAGGGAGGCTGTGTGGTCAGTGGCCCACTGGCCCCCAGTCTCGTGCTGTGAGATGAGAGGCCCTTCCTGCTGGAAACCGCAGATCCCGAAGGAGAAAGGGAAATCTCAGAGGACGCATTACTGACGATAAGCCAGTGAGATGATAATCATAGTAAAGAGAGAATCAGCACTGACGAGCGCATTTCAAACCACAACGAAAGTAAGATGCACACAGTAACTTGTTAAAACCTCCAATTTCCATCACAAAATAAGACAAAATTTCCAGGTGTGCGCCATGTTCTGCGATTCGGAACGAGGCGACCAAACTTCTCGTGCCAGGAAGCAGCCCTGTGCCATTGTAAACAAGCAGGCTCGTGAATCCAGCTCTTTTAATCCAATAGAACTATTGCTCTCGAGTTCGAGACAGTTTTGCCAACAAATACTACTCACTTGTTAACTCTGCCTGCAGAGCACCTTGGAACATCTCTGCGGCCAGGCATCTGCCGCAAAACCTGTACTTATCCGCTCGTTACATCACAGCACATCAGTCAGTGCAGTGACTAGTGAGCAGGAAGGGCTGCCTCGCGTCGCAGTTTGTGCACAAGGTTAATGAATTTGTGTGTCATTTGAAATTTGGTAAAATGGTTCTAGACCGTCAGTGATGTCAATGGATTTTGCTACCGAGATTTGAGAATCGGTCTGAGAAAGTGGGACTGCGGTTAATAAGCTGGAGGAACAAGAACACGTACAGAAGGTGGGTGACAAACGAGGGGAGGCCGGTAAACCGTTTGGGAGATGGAGATGGAGATACTGTGACCCCCCTCCACTCTGGGCCTTCACACAGCCCTGCCCCTCTCTTTGCCCAGGTGACGCACCTGTGCTGGGTTCCTGGCGGCTCCTGCATCCTGCAGACGTCCGAGGACAAAACCATCAGGTGCGTAGCCCCCCCCGTGCACGAGTCCCCCCTCAACCCCCCCCCACCGTCATCACTGCTCCTGCCTCCCCGGTGGTGGTGGGGGCGTCCCGAGCAGCACCACAGGGTCACTGAGGGCGCCCCGTTTTTTCTCGTCGCCCCCCCCCCTGCAGGCTGTGGGACAGCCGCTGCCTCGGGGTGGCCAGCGCCTTCCCCGCGAAGCAGCACATCCAGACGCACTGCGACGTGAGCCCGGACGCGCGGTACTGCCTGAGCTGCAGCAACGGATTCGGGGGACAGGGGTGCGAGGCCACGGTAAGGGGGCGAGGGGGCGCAGGGCGCCAGTCTCCGGCCAGGAGCTTCTCGCTTACGGCCCGAGTGTTGATTCCCGGATTCCCGGATTCCCATTCGGGAAGCGGATCAGAGGGCGGCACAGCACTGGGGCCCCCGGGTTCGACTCCTGACCTGGGGTGCTGGCTGTGTGGAGTTTGCATGGTCTCTCGCGGTTCGTGTGGGTTTCCCCCGTCCAAAGCCATGTGGCAAGGTTAACTGGCTTCTGGGAAAACCGGCCCGGGCGCGAGCGGACCCGTGCTTGTGTCTGTCTGTGCCCTGGAAAATGGGACAGTGGGAGAGTGGATCAGATATGGGATTGAAAACGGGCCGTGGGGGGAAACACTGGTTTGCAGAATGTAGGCCTGGAGCCAAGAGGAATAACCGGGTCCTTAGTACTGCTTGACGTGAGAAAGGCGTCATCCTGTTACGCGACACCACAGTGCGATTTCCCGTACTCTCACGGCAAGTTCCTGTCACTGCCAGGGACGCCTTGTTGCCTGGAACTGCATTGTTTAGGCAACTGTTCTTTCCCCGTTCCTGCTGAGAATTTGGTCAGCCTGTTAATCAATAATTTGCAGTCATTGGGCTCTCACCTTAAGGGCACAGTCCATGGATAAAGCCGTTATGCGAATACAGGTTTCAGCAGCAGAGAGAGAGAGCAGCTTTAACGCTGGAGTGCGCTCTCCCACAGCGAGGCTGAAACGGTTCATTTGTTTCGATGGGCTTTAGCACAGATCTTCAAAGGAATGGCGTGGCCGCCGTTTTCGTTGTGACCGATGCCAGGGGTTAGGCTTTTGGGAGGGTAGGAGACTTGCAAGAGCTTCGAAAGAAAA